TGCCAAACACCCTGAGAGTCCAAAAGTATTTTTTTGGTTTCATCAGTGGCAAACAGAAAAAAAAAACCGTTTCAGGGGTCAGACAATCCCCTTTCATCATGGCTACATATGGAACACGTTAGTCACAAACGTTGATAAAATTGAATAAAAATATCTCTATGGTCTATGTGAGGAATGTTTAAAAAATTATTGGAGTATCCACTAGAGGGAGTAACAAACCCAGATGGCAATTAAAAACCCAGATGGAAATTGAAACTTGGTATTTGGTTACAAAATCTGCATAAAGTTAGAAGATACAAAACTACATATAAAGTCTACACAATGAGTCTGGGAATGTAAGGTCACAGTCATATAACTACACAACTATAGGAAACAACTCGAGGATATTTAAGCTTTTGGACTCATTTATTTGGCTCCATTTCTGGTTCAACTACAAATATGATAATAAAAACAGTATCAGACATAAAACATTTTTTAAAATTAAAATGCTGTAAAGCAAAAATTTAGCACAATCAAAAAACAAAACAAACAAAAAAACAACAAACTGGCAATAAAGTGGTGAAATATATAAGAAAACAATCTCAAACATTTTCAGTTTCAAAAATATTGGCAATATTTTTATGAATAACATGAAGGCAGTAAATGCAATAATTTGAAGTAGATGTATAAAACAAACAACATGTTTTTAGTGCAGTGGGGAATGGTTAGAACTTATGACAATATATATCTTGCTGTCTGCGCCTTTAAGTCCCAGTGACAACCACTCCCCACATCTCTTGTCAGCGTGTCACAGGGACAGGAAAATCTCTCCAATGAAGTCACAAAAATAAATAAATAAACCTGACAGAAATGGTAACTCTACCCCACCCTACTCAAAACTACAATATTTTGGCCATAATATACGAAACCTTGTCACCAACTTAAAAAATTGCAGGTAAAAGACGAAAAATCAGGTATTTCAAATGCTTATTTAAGGTGTTTTTCCTTTTCATAAATTATTTTTATGGACTTGCAATGTGCCTCTGACCTTGCTAGAAAAATTGCATACTTCACAATAGTTAGTTCACTTGCACAGTCCCCTGCATGTCATAGCCCTCTGCTCTTCTCCGAGTGTCTAATTACTGTTTGTGCTGGCCCAGCTACTCCTCCCCTCCTCCCCTCTACATAATCTTTAATGTAGCTGCCGGGGGAAAAGTGAAGGGGAACAGTCTACTGTGACTGTTCATATCACATCCAAGTTAGCAGTGCCCAGCAGCAGTCTCAGAGATTTTGGAGGCCTTTATAGATAAATAACATGCCAAAAATCCCTAAAATACCATTATGATATTATGGGAAGATTGCTGTATAAAATGAATGGTCTGGCCATAGGGTGTCTTTGAATGTGTGTATGCATCAAACATATGCAGGATAACAGGATTTTTTTCGACTCTTGGAGTCCACTGAGGAACACAGAACTGTCAGGTTATACTGCTGTCTGCAGAAGCATTAGACGCTGACTTTGCCACCTTTAGGCCTCGTTCACACCAGATACAGTGCGTTCCGGCCCGATTCTGGCCGGAACGCACTGCATCACTTGCAGCATTTTGTTTCAGACCGGAACGCAGGCATTGATGGGCCTTGCGTTCCCGTGTGGCTGATCGCATTGCGGCTGGAGGGGGTGGCTACGGTGCCATTCACTTCAATGGACCGCATAGCCCCCTCCTGTTGCACAACATAGTGAGCCGGCCGGAACGCACTGTGTCTGGTGTGAACAAGGCCTAAGGGTTTTAGACAACCAATGGCTGAAAACAGCACTGTTAGAAACAACAGGCTGATCTTCTAGTTTTAGGGTGGCGTGCACTGTGGTGGAGTAATAGCGGTAGACTGACTCCTCAGGGGTACGCTCTTTAGACAAATCCTCAAGCATTTCAGAATCAGGAAGTCGCTCAAAGAGCGTGGGAAAATCATGGCCAGAGTCACCAAATGACTAATTTGGGTCATAAATCCCGCCACGACCATAGTAAAAACCTCAGCAGAGAGGGCAGAGGCCTAAGCTACACCCAATGGTGACAAATAGGACTCTGAAGACGGGATAGACTACAGACGCGAGTCCAGGTTGCAGATTTTGGCACCAGCACTAAGTGCACTGCGAGCAGCCCAGACCCCTTAGTATAGAAAGTGAGCTGTGGGCATCCAGTACAGAGAGTCTACAGTAGCTCAACGTCATCATGCAGTGGAAGCAAAAAAGAATGGATGTGGTGGTCCGGCCATTATAAATCAAAACTGTGGAGGAAGCCCGCCCACAGGACAGTGGATTAAAGTACGTATTCCTTGTATTCTGCATATGCTGGACACACATAGTTAATATTTTTTGCCCAGCCTAGATTTGGGCTTTAAAGGTTATTTTATTTATTTCAGATATTTATATAGCGCCGAAAAATGTACACAGCGCTTTACATAGTAGCACATTCACATCAGTCCCTGGCCTCAAGGAGCTTGCAATCTAAGGTCCCTATCTCTCATACATACAGGGACAATTTAGACATGAGCCAATTAATCTTCCAGCATGTCTTTGGAGTGTGGGAGGAAACCTCCTCCCCTTTGCATACTGTCTGTGTAAAAGTAACTGACTAACCTGCCGCTCTTTAAATCTTTTATATCAGCAAGGTTGTGTTTTAGGTTAAGTGGCCCTTAAAGATGGATGATATATTGCTGCCTCATTACCATGATGTGCTGTTCATTATGACACCTTACATGGCCTTATAATAATACAGTTATGTCACTGTGACAAAGTACAAATGTCAGTTATATAAACCACCCTTCCAGTGTCTGGGGAGGACTGGCTGCTTGTTGTGGGGCGGCAGTGATAATATGTAACAGTGATACTACTTGTCAGACAGGTATAATTACAGGAACAGGGATACCTACGTTGTTCGGCGGGTGCTGCACTGGCCTTCAGAGCGAGTTTCTGGCGGGACAGCAGCTCTTTCTCCTCCTGCATTTGATCCCGCTCCTGCTCCAGTTCCTGCAATCTGTTACCTGTACTCTGCAGCTCCTGCTCCAGATGCCGGATAAGATCATTTTTCTCCTGCATCTGCTTTTCAAGAAAGACTCTCTCGTCTGTGTACCCATCGAGGAGGCCTGGAGGTGAAATAGAGGAGTGTTAGAGAGGGAATGATGCACAGGGACAGTACAAGTGTCAATTATACTCGTTCTCTAGTAAACGTTATGTATCATATATACAATAAAGTAATGTAATAAATTCCTTTGATTAGCACAGGAAATATGTATATAGGTTTCCATGCTTGACAGGGCCTGTCAGAATCCAAATATGGGACCTGCCATTGCAGACTTGTTTTTACAATCTTTAGACGTGCAAGCAACAGGTCAATCACCCTTCTCTTCATTTCACAACCTAAAGTGACACTAAACTCAGGAATTAAATCTTATAAATACATTCAAATAACTTAACTATCAACAAGAATGTATCTTATTTGTGTATCACTCGGCTGTAGATCCTCAAATCATCTCTAAATTGGTGCTGACACTGTCCTTCTTTCTGGAGGGGGGCTACTTTTGTTCCCCATGGTCCCTGTGTGTGTTACAAAGTAGTCACCGCTCCAAGCTCGCTCCCATGATGAACTACAATCTCATGTTTGGTTTACTCATTTGTATTGAGATTGTAGTCCATCACGGGAGTGAACTTGGAGCTGTGACTACTTTATAACACACACAGGAACCATGGGGAACACAAGTAGCCCCCCTCCAGAAAGAAGGACAGTGTCAGCACCAATTTAGAGATGATTTGAGGATCTACAGCCGAGTGATACACAAATAAGATACATTTTTGGTAATAGTTATGGTACTTGAATGTATTTTTAAGATTTAACTCCTGAGTTTAGTGTCAGCTTTCAGTTTAAATCACGTAAATACATTCCAAAGGCAAAAGAAGTTACAGTTCCTTTCCTTTAGAAGACAGCCACAGCCTGAGTAGAAAAGCCTGTCCGCTGCTAGTCTGCTGTAGACCAGGGGTAAGCAAACTCTGTCCCTCTAGCTGTGGTGATACTACAAATTCCATCATACATCTGCCTCTGGGCTGTCGGAGTCTTGCAATGTCTCATTACAGTTACAATACAAAATCAAGAGAAGATGGTAAGAAGAGCCTTGACCCTGAGAGCTTACAATCTAAATGTTTACATGAAAAAAAAAAATGATGAAATGGTATATGTACTGTATATTTATCTTTCGGTATTCGCAGATATCGATACCTGTACTTCCGCTAACATGGAGCCGGCTTCCCAGGCAAGCCGGGCGGCGTGTCATTACCCGTTCTTGATTGCCTGGGAAGCCGGCTCCATGCTGATTGGCCAGGCAGCCGTCATTACGCACTGCACCGGCTTCCTGATTGGCCAGAAAGACGGCTCCATGCTGATGGGCTTCCCAGTCAATCAGCATCGAGCCAGCTTCCTGGCCAATCACGAAGCCGGGCGGCCGGCTCCATGCCGATTGGCTGGGAAGCCATCTTCGAGGCCAATCAGCACCAAGCCAGCCAAACAGCATGGAGCTGGCTTCCTGGGCAATCAGGAAGCTGGGCGGCGAGTCATTACCCACCAATTGGCCGGGAAGCTGGCCCCATGCTCCCTCACCGCCCAGCTTCCTGATTGGTCAGAGGAAATCTCCCTCTGATCGGAAGTTCCGGCATCGGGGGTACTCGCCCAGATACTGGATGTCGGTGCATCCCTAATTACTATTTAATACAAAGATTTGTAAATTCCTTTCTCTGCTAGTTATCTTGGAAAGAAGCAGGGCATTAAGTGCCCCCCACAATGGTGTATTAGGCCTGCACTGCCTCTTACTATATACAAACATATGGATATAAAAGTGAAGTATTTTTGGTAACAGAAGGGAGGCAGAAACATGCACAATGATTGGTCACTCTGCGGGGGATAAAACCGCGCTCACTACGCTGTTTCATAACACAAAGACAAACATAATCCACTACAGACATAGCACAGCTCGCACTTACAATTGCTATGAGACCAGAGATCACAAACATCGTCAATGCCACGCATCTCATTAAACTTGAAAAGGACAAAATTAAAATGTCTTTTTTAGGACACACGATTACCACCCAGGACCTATCCGTTATTAATAGTGAAACTCACATCAATATTGACTGAGCAAGTCTGTACAGGTTTACAGCATTGTCTGCGCATTCCAGCTGTCATCTCTGCTTATGTGAAGGATTCTTACACCTGCTACTACAATCCCCACCATGGAAACACTGTTTTCATAATAAGTATATCCCAGGGAGGATCTTCTCTTCTTCTGTTTATCAGTCGAGCTGCTGTGCAATTTGCACAACACACTAATGACTGCTAATACAGATGGCCATGAAGGGAAATTCTACAGGGCTTCACTAATCATCTGTAAAAGAAACCATGTTACTATACAAACCTAAAGGTGACACTAAACTCAGGAGTTAAATATTAAAAATACATTCAAGTACCTTAACTATTAACAACAATGTATCTTATTTGTGTATCACTCGGCTGTAGATCCTCAAATCATCTCTGAATTGGTGCTGACACTGTCCTTCCTTTTGGAGGGTGGCTACTTTTGTTCCCCATGGTCCCTGTGTGTGTTGTAAAGTAGTCACCGCTCAAAGCTCGCTCCCGGGATGGACTACAATCTCCATACAAATTAGTAAACTAAACAAGAGATTGTAGTCCATCACGGGAGAGAGCTTGGAGCGGTGACTACTTTACAACACACGGGGAACACATGGGGAACAAACGTAGTCACCCACCAGAAGGAAAGTGGTGTCAGCACCAATTCAGAGTTGATTTGAGGATCTACAGCCGAGTGATACACAAATAAGATAAATTTTTCTTAATAGTTGGGGTACTTAAATGCATTTTTAAGATTTAACTCCTCCTTTTCACTCACCTCATAGTTCTAGCCGACCTGTGACAATGAGACTGTCACAGGTCGGCTCAGTAGATCGGGAGGTGAGCGAACACATACCGGCGTTCGCTCACCTCTCGATTCTGTCCCGGGTCTCTGCCGTGAAAGGGGAGGGGCTGGATTCCCCCCTCCCCGCTCCGATCCGCCAGCGCTGACTGGCAGAACGGACGGGGGAGGGTACAGCTGGCTCTGCCTCTAGATAGGCAGAGCCAGCTGTCACTCACGCAGCTGGGCGGATCCTGCCATAATTGTCGGGATCCGCTTCAGCGTCTCAGTATACCGCGAGCTACAGCTCGCGGTATACTGAGCCTAGGGTGACGGGAGGACGCTAGTTTGTGTCCTCCCGTTACCCTAAGGAGAACTATGGGGAAAAGCCCTAACCCCATAGTTCTCCTTTAAAGGAATACTCAAGTTTAAAAAAAAAAAGAAGAAAAAAGTGTAAAGAAAAAATATAAAAACATATATAATTGCCGCAGGAGCCATTTTGTACCGTAATATTATTAAAAATGACCTTTCCATTTAAAACTGCAGCCACAGTCACTTTCTAAAACTGGTGAAATAAATTCAATGCAATATGGTGATCTGGAGGCGTGTGTACAGAACACCCCCAGAAATGTAACTTCCTGCTTCTGTGATTAGCTGACTGATTTTCCCAGAAGTCTGCACTAAAATACAAGTGAAATCTTAGGCATTCCATGCAATAGGAATTTCATTTTTGATGAGATTACCCCCAAGGGTGAATTATTACTAAAGGGATGCTGACACTGCACTATTCCTCATTACAACACAGAAAGTCCACCAGCTGGTTATAATGAACCCAGACTCCCCAATCAGGGATCAGTTTGTAGAGGACACAGTGAGACAAACAGCTATTTCTTCAGAACAGAAAACAGGTAGAAACCTGCAAGAAAGTAAGGTCAAATCCTTATGCACATCAATCACTCAGAGTATTGATTTTTTTTTTCTTTAGGCTGGCCACACTAAAACAGATTTATATAAATCATGCTAATCAGGAGTGGATGATCAAATCCCCCTACCGGGATATTGTATCCTGACAGCCAGGGCCCATCTGGCTGAAAATTCTAAGCCTGGCTCCTTTGACACAAGCCGATTATATAATCAACTTTTGTTAAGCCAACTGGGAAACCCAGTGTTAGAATTTCAGTTGATTCCTGTGAATTGGTTGAAAATCTGACAGCGTAGGTCCAGCTTAAGCCAGAGACAAATCTTCCCCTAGAGACAATTAGCCAGCAGCAGTATTGCTAAAGAGGCTGCCAGTCTGCCCCTATGGAATCGCTTGCTCTGTAACCAGATGCGGGAGATATTATCTGAATCGCAATCACCATCATTGGGAGCGACATCTTGCTGTCTAAAGGTGCCCATACACCTTACGACCATCGCAAGACTTTTGTCTTGCGATGGTCTTACGCTTATTGAAAGCTCGTACGATCTGCCCACCTTGGACGGGCAGATCGTACTTGCGATCATCGAAAGGCCGATGACACCCGCCCGTTCCGCAGCTATCGGACGAGCAGGCTAGAAACCCGCCAACAATCGTACGATTCTCGGCGGGTTTTCAAGCATGTTGGTTCGACAAAAGACGTGCGACCATACAGTAGAAACGGTCGCACGTTTTCGTTCACACTGCTCGATTCTCGTACGATCGTGGGATTTCGCCCGATTCTCGTACGAGAATCGAGCAGTGTATGGGCACCTTAAGCTACCGAGGGAGCAATTCCATAGGGACAAACAGGCAGCCTCTTGGCCATCTTGCCAAATCACCAGGGGCAGGGTCGCCTGTCTGACTTCAGCCCATGTGTGGCCATAAATGAGCAGATATTTCACCCCAAAAAACCATAACAGTAAGATGTGCTCATCCGGGACCACCACCCAGATGTAACACAATCTTCATCCCAGTTTGCAGTATAACATGTATAAGCTTTGTTGTCTTTTTTTTCTTAAAAATGTGAGCAATCTGCTATCGGGCACAAAGATGTTACAACACGTTGGAAAGTCACTTTGTACAATAAAGATTATTATTACATAGGATTTATATAGCACAGCGCTCTACAATATAAGGAAGACATTACAATCACAATACAAATCAAGACAAGATGGTAAGGAGGGCCCTGCCCCTGAGGGCTTGCAATCTAAAAGATCACTTCCAACTATCG